TCCCCATCCAATGATAAATGCTTTCCCTATGTCCAGCCCGGACAGGTTCAGGGCAAGTCCAGCTGGTCAGTTCAGGGAGAGATCCAGACCAATTCAGGCAGCCCAAAGACTGCACCACCTGAGAGGGAAAAGGCTGTAGACAGTGAGGAGTATGTCAGCCCAAAGACTGCACCACCTGAGAGGGAAAAGGCTGTAGAGAGTGAGAAGTATGTCAGCCCAAAGACAGGACCACCTGAGAGGGAAAAGGCTGTAGAGAATGAGAAGTATGTCAGCCCAAAGACAGGACCACCTGAGAGGGAAAAGGCTGTAGAGAGTGAGGAGTACGTCAGCCCAAAGACAGGATCACCTGAGAGAGAAAAGGCTGTAGAGAGTGAGGAGTATGTCAGCCCAAAGACAGGATCACCTGAGAGGGAAAAGGCTGTAGACAGTGAGGAGTGTGTCAGCCCAAAGACAGGATCACCTGAGAGGGAAAAGGCTGTAGAGAGTGAAGAGTGTGTCAGCCCAAAGACAGGATCACCTGAGAGGGAAAAGGCTGTAGAGAGTGAGGAGTGTGTCAGCCCAAAGACAGGATCACCTGAGAGGGAAAAGGCTGTAGAGAGTGAGGAGTATGTCAGCCCAAAGACAGGATCACCTGAGAGGGAAAAGGCTGTAGAGAGTGAGGAGTGTGTCAGCCCAAAGACAGGATCACCTGAGAGGGAAAAGGCTGTAGAGAGTGAGGAGTGTGTCAGCCCAAAGACAGGATCACCTGAGAGAGAAAAGGCTGTAGAGAGTGAGGAGTATGTCAGCCCAAAGACAGGATCACCTGAGAGGGAAAAGGCTGTAGAGAGTGAAGAGTGTGTCAGCCCAAAGACAGGATCACCTGAGAGGGAAAAGGCTGTAGAGAGTGAGGAGTATGTCAGCCCAAAGACAGGATCACCTGAGAGGGAAAAGGCTGTAGAGAGTGAGGAGTGTGTCAGCCCAAAGACAGGATCACCTGAGAGGGAAAAGGCTGTAGAGAGTGAGGAGTGTGTCGGCCCAAAGACAGGATCACCTGAGAGGGAAAAGGCTGTAGAGAGTGAGGAGTGTGTCGGCCCAAAGACAGGATCATCTGAGAGGGAAAAGGCTGTAGAGAGTGAGGAGTGTGTCAGCCCAAAGACAGGATCACCTGAGAGGGAAAAGGCTGTAGAGAGTGAGGAGTGTGTCAGCCCAAAGACAGGATCACCTGAGAGGGAAAAGGCTGTAGAGAGTGAGGAGTGTGTCAGCCCAAAGACAGGATCACCTGAGAGGGAAAAGGCTGTAGAGAGTGAGGAGTGTGTCAGCCCAAAGACAGGATCACCTGAGAGGGAAAAGGCTGTAGAGAGTGAGGAGTGTGTCAGCCCAAAGACAGGATCACCTGAGAGGGAAAAGGCTGTAGAGAGTGAGGAGTGTGTCAGCCCAAAGACAGGATCACCTGAGAGGGAAAAGACTGTAGAGAGTGAGGAGTGTGTCAGCCCAAAGACAGGATCACCTGAGAGGGAAACAGCTGTAGAGAGTGAAGAGTGTGTCAGCCCAAAGACAGGATCACCTGAGAGGGAAAAGGCTGTAGAGAGTGAGGAGTCTGTCAGCCCAAAGACAGGATCACCTGAGAGGGAAAAGGCTGTAGAGAGTGAGGAGTGTGTCAGCCCAAAGACAGGATCACCTGAGAGGGAAACAGCTGTAGAGAGTGAGGAGTGTGTCAGCCCAAAGACAGGATCACCTGAGAGGGAAACAGCTGTAGAGAGTGAAGAGTGTGTCAGCCCAAAGACAGGATCACCTGAGAGGGAAAAGGCTGTAGAGAGTGAGGAGTGTGTCAGCCCAAAGACAGGATCACCTGAGAGGGAAAAGGCTGTAGAGAGTGAGGAGTGTGTCAGCTCAAAGACAGGATCACCTGAGAGGGAAAAGGCTGTAGAGAGTGAGGAGTCTGTCAGCCCAAAGACAGGATCACCTGAGAGGGAAAAGGCTGTAGAGAGTGAGGAGTGTGTCAGCCCAAAGACAGGATCACCTGAGAGGGAAACAGCTGTAGAGAGTGAAGAGTGTGTCAGCCCAAAGACAGGATCACCTGAGAGGGAAAAGGCTGTAGAGAGTGAGGAGTATGTCAGCCCAAAGACAGGATCACCTGAGAGGGAAAAGGCTGTAGAGAGTGAGGAGTGTGCCAGCCCAAAGACAGGATCACCTGAGAGGGAAAAGGCTGTAGAGAGTGAGGAGTGTGCCAGCCCAAAGACAGGATCACCTGAGAGGGAAACAGCTGTTGAGAGCTATGAGTGTGCCAGTCAAATTTTCACAACCTGATCAGAAACATTTCCAGTCATTTTTAAATTACCATCCTCAGCAAAAAAGTAGCAATCCAGTGGTGCAGAAAGTGTTCTGTAGCAGAGAAGGTGGCTGATGTACTTTCCAGAGTGTCACATGCTGTATTGTTTCATCTGCATGGCATTCGGTAAGAGAACTGATAGCAGTCTGTTCATCAGTGGAATGTCAGATTGGAGGCATATACACCAGCGCACAGAGGAGCATGAGAGAAGCAGTGCACATAGAAACTGTGCTGAAGCTTACCTCTTGAAATCCGCCAGTGCTGATATCAGCAGTGTGTTTGGTGGCAGTCAGATGTCAGAGCAGGTCAGAAGGAGACGGCAGGTTTTGGAGCGCATCATAGATGTCATCAAGGTTCTTGGGAAGAGGGGGCTTGCATACAGGAGGTCAGAAAATGAGGCAGCATATACTCTGGAAGACCACACAGTTGATCATGGTAATTTCTTGGAACTCATACTTCTACTGGGGAAGTATGATTTATGTTTAAAAGAGCACCTGGACAGCTGCATTGAGAACAGCAAAAAGTTGCATTTGTCTGGTGGCACGAGAGGCAGAGGCTCCCTTTTCTCCAAAACCACAGTCAACTCAGTGATAGATGCAATTCACCATCTGATTCAAGAAAACATCTCCAGTGATATCAAGAAAGCAGGAATGTTTTCAGTGCAGCTGGACACAACGCAGGACATCACCTCTCAGGATCAATGCTCTATAATTATGAGGTATGTTACTGATGTTGTTCATGAGAGGCTTGTTGCAGTGCTGAAGTGCAGTGCATCCACTGGACAGGCCTTTGTCAACATGCTGTCAGAAGTTCTGGACAAAATGGGCCTCAGCAAGACCATGTGCATTGGAAATGTGACTGATGGGGCATCAAACATGCAAGGCCAATACAAAGGATTCTCCTCACTGTTGTCTGCACAATCTCCAAACCAGGTGCATGTATGGTGCTACGCACATGTACTAAATCTGGTGCTTGCAAACACAACCCAGATTGTTATTGAGAGTGGGTCCCTGTTTGCGCTCCTCAATAGCATTGAGGTATTCATCAAAGAGTCATATAAAAGGATGAATGTGTGGGAAGAGTCAGGCCGAAACAAGAGACGTAGACGCCTTGCTCCTATTGGCGAGACACGCTGGTGGGCCAAGCATGAGGCCCTGAAGAAGAGACACGCTGGTGGGCCAAGCATGAGGCCCTGAAGAAGAGACACGCTGGTGGGCCAAGCATGAGGCCCTGAAGAAGAGACACGCTGGTGGGCCAAGCACGAGGCCCTGAAGAAGAGACATGCTGATGGGCCAAGCATGAGGCCCTGAAGAAGAGACACGCTGGTGGGCCAAGCATGAGGCCCTGAAGAAGAGACACGCTGGTGGGCCAAGCATGAGGCCCTGAAGAAGAGACACGCTGGTGGGCCAAGCGTGAGGCCCTGAAGAAGAGACACGCTGGTGGGCCAAGCATGAGGCCCTGAAGAAGAGACACGCTGGTGGGCCAAGCATGAGGCCCTGAAGAAGGTGTTTGGCTCCTTTGGAAAAGCGGAAGATGGTCTGTACGTTGATGTGCTGTTGACATTATCAGCTATACAGAAACAGGCAACAGTGAAACCATGTATCCGTGTCATGGCCAGAGGATATGCAGAGTCATTGCTCAAGTATGAGACAATCTTGACGGCTCAAATCTTCCTCCGCATATTTGAACATACCTCTCCATTGTCTAAATACCTTCAGACGGCAGGATTGGACATCCTCTCTGCTCACAGAATGGTGGAATCGACACAGGATACGCTGAAAATCTTGGAAAGAGATTTTGAATCTGTAAAAAAAGCAGCAGACACATTTGTCAACTGGACAAACACAGAAATCCAAGAGAGAGATGATACGGACATTGAAGTGGAGGCCACACTGCCACAAAAGAGGAGGAGGATGAAGAAAGTCTTGCCTGGAGAGATGGCTCAGGATGAGACCCTGGATGATGCAGAACAATCCTATGAGGTGAATGTGCATAACCGGATCATGGACACAGCAATTGAAGCCATTCATAGGCGCTTTTTAACACACTGCAATCTATATGCTGACTTGGCATGTCTGGATCCCAGTGCTCTTCCCTCAGCTCTGCACCAGTGCTCTTCCCCAGTCTGCCCTTCAAGACTTAAGCAAGTGCTTGCAAGGATTTGACAGCAGGGCAACCAAGGAAAATCTGCAGGCCGAGTTGAAAAGCTTTGCACTCCAGTGGAACAGGCTGAAGGCATCCCCATTGGCAGAGTACAAAGCAAGAACAGTAGAAGATGGATCAGGTGGTGAGGAGGAGGACAGCACAGAAGAGGTTGAGATAACTCCCATAAGCTGTTGCTCCTGCAAAGAATGCCCTCTGTGCTGCTACCAGATACGTCGCCGTTTCAACATGCTAACAGATGCATACCCTGTCCTAGGCCTTGCTTATAAATACCTGCTTACATTATCGCTCACACAGGTGGCTTGTGAGCGCACATTTTCCATTTTTGAAGTTTATTCAAAACAGACTCAGAAGCACCCTCTCATCTGAGAAATTGGAGGCATTTATGTTGATGGCCACAGAAAAAGACATCCTCATGGCCTTGGACTCTGACTCTGTGATAGACAGACTTGCAGAGAAGAGTGAACTGCTTAAAAAGCTGCTCCACTGATAAGGCCAGAAATATTTAATATTATTGTTATTATCACACATCACACATTATGGATGTAGTAATTCATTATTTGTCATTTGAATGATGCTTTTCAGAAGTGTTATTGTGCTTATGTGTTGATCCTTAATGGTGTGATCATGAACACTAAATGATCAATTATTCTCCATTACAGGTTGTTCTGATATATTTGAGGAGTCGTTCTCCCTCTGTTCTATATGTGGACTTGTTCTCTCATTTGGGACCACTGTTAGAATTTGGTAAGTTTATCATGTATTTTTTAATGTTGTATAAATTCATACTTCATAATTTTAAAAAAGTTTTGAAAGAAACGCACATCCCAAACGTTTTCAACTCTAGTTGAGAGGAAAACATTTTATTTATTTTTCAGACTTAATAATGTATCAAATTCCCTCTCAGGTTGACCACTTGACATGTGAGAGCTTGAGGAGTTGTTCCCCCTCCGTCCATTTTCAAGGATTTGCTCCACTTCACCACTTTGTGGCTACTGAGAAGTCTATGATTTGTTGAGTATGTCATGTGTCTTATAATGTTATATGAATTCATACTTGATTTGTGATGATGAGAGACTTAATAATGTTTCCATGTCTCTTTTAGGTTGACCACCCTATATATGAGAGCCTAAGGAGTTGTTTTCCCTCTGTCCCCTTTTGAGGACCTGCTTTGTCTCCTCCATCATTCACTGGGTCACTTTTGGGTTCCTGGGCTTATTTCATGTGGTGAGAGGAATGCAATGTGTGTATGTTTAAAGGTTTATGTGAAGAAACATACTATATGTGATAAAATGACAATTGGTAAATCATAAATGTCTCTTTATATTCTCTGCTACCATTATCTCCTGGCAAACAGCTTTTCCTGACCTGCTAGAAGTTCTTCTATGATGCTTGAGTCATCCATCATATCTGAGAGCTTCGTCTTGACTGTGAGTTTATTATGCAACTTGTTTTGTCTCAGATTGAAACAAAAGGTTTGATTATGATTATTTCCTGGCTGAAGATTTTCATATTGATGGTTTTAATTTCAAACATCTGCATATCTTTTAAGTTCAATGAACAGTTATGCAGGTAGGCCTTAGGGCTCTTTTGAGACTTAAGTCATCCTTCATGACAGATACATGTGTTCACTAAGTGTCACCACGTCACAAAAAGGCTACATGGCTACATATACTTGTCAGTACACAGATACTGAGTACAAGTTCTGTTTGCTGGTTCTTGCAGGTCACGAATTTGGTGAGGAGTGGAGCTGGCTGGCTGCGGACGAGGAAGTAGAGCAATACATACTTGTGCACATACACGTATATGAGAATGCATATCTATTCAGACCTGTCTTAGACTTTTCACACAGCTATATATATATATTTTTTTTTTTCCAATTCTCTATTTATGGTTTCATAATGACTGAGTCACCGTTGAGTGAGTGAGTTTCAGCTCTAATGCTGCTACTGTCTGTAATATGTTTCTATTTAGATTATTTGTCAGGATATGTTTTTGTTATTATTATCTGAGTCTGGTTTGAACTAATACTGGGCTTACACCAAAAGATTTTCACAGTCACAGACTAAAAACTGAAAGGGTAGCATAAGGGTTCTTCCCGTTAGTCTCGTCCCACCCCTAGTCATGACATAACTTCTGTTGTGATTTGACACTATAATGAATAAAGATTGATTGATTGATTGCTATAGCTCTCAATTGTAGTCCTTGAGTTCATAGTTAAGTGCTTTATTTGTTAACTGCTATCAAGGAATATGACTCCTTTGTAGTATGCTTGAGAAAAGATGCCGCAAGATTAGTGGACTTCTATGTAGTGTCCGCTGATAATGTAGTGGGCTGGTCTGGACAGAAAATGCCAGGGCTGAATTTTTGTCCCAGTCCACCCCTGTGTGTAAGGTGCGGGTTTAAATACTGGCAGAAGCTAATGGGTGCAGAAGAGAAAGAGAGTGAGCTAACGAGTGGGTGTGGAAAACAGGTGAGACAGGTGAATGGAAAACTACTGAATGATGGAGCAGACTATGACAGTAGTAGTATAAGAGGTATATATTTAGATTGTACTCAGTGCTCACACCATGTGTACAATTATCCAGTGCAGAGAGTGAAATATACTGTAGTCTGTGCATTTAGCTGCTGTGTTTTTATCTTATCGAATCAATCAATAACTTTGTTCTTTTGCCTCTGGGGCTGTAAAGGTTTACTCCTGGTTGTTAGCTGGTCTCACACTGCCCTCTTGTGGTGGAAGCTCTTGGCACAACTTCCTTTATGCTCCAACTGTCCAGTTTACATTACTTTACATTACAAGTCAATCATCATCCAAAGTGAATAATAAAAGCATGATTGAACCACTGAATGTACATGTTTGTCTGAGTGGATGGTCGAAAATGACACCAACATTTCGGCACAGATATTTTATAGACAGGGACAGAGAACTAAGGCTGTTAGAAATGTGGGTGACGGCAGTATCAACATGACCTATCATAATAGCTTCCGTTTTATCAGCATTTAGCTGCAGGAAGTTGTGTGACATCCATTTGTGGATACCCTGAAGGCAGTTGAGGAGATTAACAGTGTCACTGTTGAGGGAGTGTTTAGCAGAATCTCAGTTTAAATAAATCTAGGTGTCATCTTTACTTTCTTTGCTTCATTTGTTCTGTTTTTATTTCAGCAGGTTAACCTATATGTTCATAAAATAGTGTATGAGCTTAACTGTGTGTATTAACCCTCTGGAGTCTAAGGGTATTTTCTCGATTTTTAGATGTTTTCTTAAATCACCTTTTAAATGTATTTCTTCTAACATGGCACCCCATGTGTTACATATCAAAATGCTCAGGACAATATCTGGTCTTGCTATATATGCATATAGCTCAAAAGCTTAAAATTTGACATCCGATTTTCGGAAAATTTTCAAAACTCTTGTGAAAACACAAATTTACCCATGTGATCGAATTGTTTTGGTGTTTTAGATTTGGTTACCAAAGTCTTAGGATCACAAAAGCAGTGAAATATTTGAATTACACTGTATATAAATGTGTTATTCATGTCTAAAATGAAAAACATTAAATTCAAATGTTGAGTAAAATAGGTGTTTATCACTCTACTTTCACCACAGCAGGGGCTGAGATACATTAGGACTGAATAATGACTTCATATTACATACCAAGGTTCATGTGATGTGTACAAATACAAATTGAGCATGCAACCTTTTTTTCAACCAACAATTTATTATAAATATGTTTTTTTCAACCAACTATTTATATAAATATAAGAAACTGGAAAATATAACTATTTACAAAATTGAACATCAGAACTTTCAACCAACTATTCATTATAAATGTCAAGACAGTGTCAAGGTCTTTGTCTGTCTTCCAAGACAGTGGGTCTGGCTGCTGTGAAGATGGGGGTGATGGTGCATGGGCTGCTGTGTAGGTGGGGTGTACAAGTGCTATATGAGACCTCCACGAGACCTCCTTGCTGGCTGGGTTGAAGGTGATGGCTGTGGTGGAGCCTTTGTGCTGAGGTGTATCTTGACCTGGTGGCAGCCGCAGATGGAGGTGGAGGCAGTGGTAGTGATGCTGGTCTGCTGCTCCTTGGTGGTGATGGCTCTTGTGAAGGCCCTTGAGCCACAGTAGATCTTGACCTGGGGGCTGGCACAGATGGATGTTCTGGCTGCTGGATAAACGCCGCCTGTGGGCCACTAGGCCCAGGCAGCTGGGAAACATCTCTGTAAAACAAATTAAAATGTAGGACAATAATTACAACTAATTTCTTTGAAATAAAGTTCAAGTAAAATGTTGCTCAAGCACAAATAACAATGCACACATAAAAAGAAAGTTTGGGAGGTTGGAGAAGGAGTCTCTCTCGATCTCTCTCTCTCTCTCTCTCACACACACACACACACACACACACACACACACACACACACACACACACACACACACACACACACACACACACACACACAGGTATTTCCAGTTACTTTACATTCAGTATAAAATTACAGACACACACACACACACACATCCACACACACACACACACACACACACACACACACACAGGTATTTCCAGTTACTTTACATTCAGTATAAAATCACACACACACACACACACACACACACACACACACACACACACACACACACACACACACACACACACACACACACACACACACGTATTTCCAGTTACTTTACATTCAGTATAAAATCACAGAAACACATATACATAGGCTACATCTGATTACAAAGTCTCATCTGTACAGGACGGTAAAATAATAACAGGCACACATATAAATAAATCTATGACAAAGTCTCATCTGTACAGAACAGTATGATAAAATAATCGATGGCAAAAACATGTCACTGTAAATGTCCGTTGTGGGACGAATACATGATTAATTTAATCATCTACACATGTAATCTCACTTTTACACACCAAAATAACGTTAACACAGAGTAAACGTTTGCTAATGGAGAGTCTATTTTGTCCAATAAAAAGTTAATGACTATCGATAACAAATATATATCAACAAACCTATTGTTCATTTTCGCGGTATTCCCCTCACATTACTGTAATATTTACACCTACCCATGTCCAAATGGATCCTTGTTGTTGTCTTTGTATTCTTCTTCTTCAGAAGAGTCGAAGAATTCAGGTTCTGAGGCTCTATCTTCACTGCTGCTAGCGAAAAAAATCTCTAGCAAAGTCGGCAACTGTAAAGTTTTTTTAGCCATTTTCTCTGTCTCTCTAGAGGGTTCTCAATACTCAAATTTCCCCTCCTCGACTGCTCGACTCCTCGGTCCTCCGGTAGTGACCCGGAAATGAATTTCAGAGCGCCATTTTGAAGGACGTCTCATTTCTCTAAATGCACACCGAGGACCGAGCATCGAGCGTCGAGGAGGCTCTCTGGAGGAGCTATAACCGAGGATACACTGATGGTTCCTCCACGGCTCCTCCACGGATGCATTTCCGGGAACGGTGGAGGCGTGACGCACGGCCGGACTTATCTCAGCCAATGACAGCTCTGCATGCATCCCCTGGATATTATTTTAGAAACTGCTTTCATCGCGTCGAGATGTTTCCAGAGAGAACAGCTGTAAGGTCCGTGCAGAAAGCAGAGCAGTGTGTATAATATATATCACTCAGTATAACAGGCCTACTCTCTTTATTTGCTTTAGTTTAGTAGATATCTACAAACAAAGAGTCGATATTTTTCTAAGACCATTGCTTCACATAATAAAATACACAACGGCTTATGCTTTAGGAGCTGTAGGTGTGTGTGGTACAGTGTGTATGTGTGTGTGGTACAGTGTGTAGGTGTGTGTTGTACAGTGTGTAGGTGTGTGTGGTACAGTGTGTAGGTGTGTGTTGTACAGTGCGTAAATGCGGCGGACAGACGGGTCTCAGTTGGTTTGGTGTCATCTGCTTACTTTTAATAGGCCTACTTGTAAATACAACTTTTGGCCCGTAATTTCAATTCCCCATTTCAGCGACCAGAGAGAGGGGGGGATATATCCAGTCTCTGATTGTGTTGCGTTATTATGAGAGTGCTCTCATACTTTAAATTGTGTATATATATACACTGGCAGCCAGGATAAGTGCCGTTCCAATCATAGATATATATAAACACTAGATGGCTCATGGGAGATTTTCCAGCGTAGCTCACCGGCCGCCATCTTGCTACAGTCAACAGCTACTCTGGTACGCGCTATGATAGCTGTTGTAAGGTGAGTGCTCTGCACAAAAATACTCTTAAATAGCTGAAATCTTGACTGATTTACAAACGGTTTGGTTTATTATAAACGTTATTAGCATGGCTATGATACAGGATGCTTGGACATGTTGAAATTGCAGCTTTTCTTTGTGTATGACGTGGTTGTATTTATTAGCTGGCTAATAACAAGAGGCTGTGAGTGAGACCTAGTATTACAAAGTTGACCCAGCAACTTTACACCAGTGGGAGAGGCAGAACTGCTCTTTCTTTTCAACATAATTTAAGTTACACATGATTTCTTCCAAGTGGTTTGGCTTGTTAAAACATCTTACATTTTAGATACATTATGAAACAGGAAATTGCTGGCTTTGTGTTTACAGAAGTACCTGACTATGCCTGACTTTTGTGCAGCCTACGGCTGCTCTAATCACCGCAGTCTGCAAACAAGAACCCGTGGAATCACCTTTCACGTGTAAGATATGACAATATTATGACTATAATTAGGATAATCGTTCATTACTTAGTGGATGTATGTACATTACAAGTCCTGCTACACAGGATCAGTGGGGCTATGTGAGATAATAGTATTGCAAGATTGATGTTGACCCAGCCTCTTTAGAATATGTTGCTACCATTTCTTTACACAATTATGTAATGTTTCTTTTGGACACCTTTTTTATTACTCTTAGTGTGGTTGTCTTATTCTTAAAGTATACATACATACATTACATACATACATACAATTACCCCAAAAATATGATAATTTCGGTGTGTATTTTTGTCCTTACCCTTAATGTTAAAGGGAGAAGGGCGGACAATGTTGACAATAATTTATATATCTGGCTACCTTTCTCATGTTTTTAAGGTTTCCCAAAACCGGAGAGAGGAGGAGGCAGTGGGAACTCGCCCTAAGAAGGGACGGTTTTGTTTCCTCTGGCAGGACGCTGCTCTGCAGTGAGCACTTCAGGAGTGAGGACTTTGACAGGACGGGGTAGACTGTCCGTCTTAAAGATGGTGTTGTGCCAACAGTATTCAATTTCCCAGTTCATCTTCAAAGGGTATGTGTATCATTGGCCAACAAAAATTCAAGGTGTATAAGATTGATTGATAAATATGTGATTAAATGTCACACTTTAGTTTTTCTTTCTGCAAGTTTAGGAATAAATAATGTGTTGTGTATTACAGCACATTTTAAACACTCAAAATGTCTTTAATTATGTTTATTTTAGCCAGAAGCAACAAGAAGCACAATCACTTCAAGAAGAGCGGAAGATGAACCTCAGCCTAATGTTGTGAGTATTCTGAATGTGGCCAAGACCAGAGAGATGGTCATTGATTTCAGGAGGGTGAGGACATCTCTTCTACCCCTGTGCATTCTGGGAGAGGATGTGGCTGTTGTGGAGGACTACAAATACCTGGGAGTGCACTTAGACAATGGGCTGAACTGGAGGATCAACACTGACGCTGTGTACAAGAAGGGGATGAGCAGACTCTATTTTCTGAGGAAGCTGAGATGCTGGAGATCTTCTACCGGTCTGTTGTGGCCAGTGCACTCTTCTTTGCTCCGGTCTGCTGGGGGGGGCGGGGGGGGGCAGCATAAGAGCCGGTGACACCAGCAGGATCAATAAACTGATTAGGAAAGCTGGGTCTGTCATCGGCATCAAGCTGGACCCCTTTGAAGCTGTGGTGGAGAGGAGGACACTGAACAGGCTGTTGTCCATCATGGATAACCCCACCCATCCTCTCCACCTGCAGCTGGACAGTCAACGGAGCTCCTTCTCCAACAGACTGCTGCAGCTCCGCTGTGCCATAACTCAACAAATCACCTCTGGCTGGAAGATAACTCTCTGCTCCATAGTTTCTCTTGAATATAACCATGTTGTACATTTTACACATATATAATCTATTTAATATTTAATATTAATATTCCATATGCCTTATATTTATGTATATTATATATATATATAATATCCTGCCAAACTCAACATGTATATTTTCCTCTTTCTTTATTTTCTTTATTTTTCTTGCTTATTTCTAATTCATTGTAAAATGCTTTGTCCCTTATGCTGCTGTAACTAAAAATGTTTTCCCAAATTGGGATCAATAAAGTACCATCTTATCTTGTTTTATTTGCATGTGGAATGTCACTAACAAATGAGAGCATCATATGGCTTGTCATATTAAATCCTTTATCTCGGTGGTACCCAGGAAGGAAGTGAACATTGAATTGTTAAAAAAGTAACTTATTAATTTCCATATTACTATTATTTATATATTCGTATAATTGTGATAAATGAGACAGAACTGGCCTGTCTGTGAGCTCATTGTATGTTGGTTTGGTTCTTCTGATAAAGGTGTGAATATCTAAATAATATACCACCATATGCTATTGTCATTAGTTGTGTCCCTATTCTTCAAGCTAAGGCATTGCTAAATTAACAACTCTTGGCTTACAGAGTGGTAACATGAGACCAATTTTTATATATAAAATATAAATATATTTTAATTTTATAATTTATTTTAAATATTAACAATATAATACAAATAAATGGAAATATATACACCGGCAAATATTTAATATACATACCTTGTGTGTGTGTATAGCTATTGCTTTATCTACTTAATGTTATTTTCATAAGAAAGTCCATGACTATAAGTATACAGTATCATAACTACATCTTTGATGTTTATAAAAAACCAAACCGTTTGAAAATTGGTTGAAAATTGAGCAAGCTATGGTTATTTAAATAGTAAACCATAATGTTATGAATGAGAGCACTACCTGTAGCAAGATGGCGGCCATGTGGCAATGTCGGTCTCCATTGGCCAGCAGCGCGGGTGAGTCATCTAGTGTTTATATATATCTATGGTTCCAATTCTCCAAATGAAAGGAAAGGAGGTTTCAAACTTCCTTTATAACCTCCTTTAGCTTAGGAACCACTGGACCTCCCTAACCGAAAGGAGAGGAGAAAATGCTGCCCCACAATGCATTGCAGCCGCAGCATTTGCCATCACAACAGTCGGCCGTTCACGGAAATGACCGAGAAATTATATCATGAAAGTTACGGTGCTTATTAAGCATTTTAAAACGTATGTGGTAAGTGGCCAAAGTGCTTTTTTCTGAACGTTCATCAGTATTATAATCAAAAAGAGAAATATGAACGTTAGTTTTTACTGAAATGATCAAATCAATTCTACATCCCACTGTCTTTACTGAGCTGTGTGGTTTGTTCAACTTTTAAAAGATGTTTGAATGGTGATATACACAGTGATAGATGTTAAGGACTAACGTTTATAATAAATACATCTGTATTGATTTTAAGATCTTTTCATACAATCATACGTATTGGGATCATTTGTATTAATGTGGACCGGAGGGAGAGGGGGACGAGCAGAAGTTTCACTTTCCTTTTTTATTTCAATTCCAACTTTGGTCATGAAGAATATGTTTCTCTGTTGTCCACGTTCATAAAGCATAAAACAACAGCGTCAGAGCACGGTGCAGAGTCTCTAGATGAGTTTACAGTAGTCCCTCGTTCTTATTGAACATCCATGTTGTAGTCCACTGTATAGAAAACTGTAGTTTCCATAGTTTCCCCACAGCAGCAGACGCACATTCATGACGTCCGCTGGCGCATCATAAACACGTCGGATAGTGAAAGTGCAGTCGATTCTCTAAAGTACCACAGTCTCTTCTCCTAAGTCCTTTTGAATTCTCCTATCCACTATCCCTTAACCCCGTGACGTTTCACTCAGAGGTCAAGGAATAGGAGATAGGGTTAGAATTTAGGAGCTGATTTTTGGATTATCGGAACGCAACCCTGGTTACAGTCTCACAGGAGATACCGCTGGAAAGCTACTCTTCCAGCGATTCCGCGGATATCTGAATCATATTTCTACTCCTTATAATCGAAAATATATGATTAATTACGTAAAATCGTATCCACCGACTCCAGCTCAGATTGTATTTCTGCTTTTTTAAACTGTAGTATGTGCTCATGTGTTTCAGTGTTGGTGTATAGGCTGCTGCCTGAATCTGCTGCAATCACCTGCATGGAAACTTAAAAACGCTCAGAAACTTTTCGCATTATTGGACTTAGGCCTATTTATGTTGCTTGAATAGGACCCGCACATTTTTTTGGTTTGCTGTATGTTATTTATATTGTTGCACTGTATCAACACCAAGTTAAATGTTTGACTATTACAATGAGCCTTGATGGTTTGTAAAATAATTGTCAATAAAAAGAATTACAAATAAAAACCAGTAGGGAGACTGAGCTGTAACACTGAGCTTGGCCCCCCTGTGCCCCCCCTCTGAAAGAAGTCTTTGAGAATACAATTAGTAATCATGTTGCAGCAAATATCTGCTGTAACCTCTGCCACAGTTAGATAATGTGTTTGTGTTTTTTGTTTTCTAAATTGAAATGTTATTTAAAAAGTGTAACATATCAATATTATAATTAATATTATAAGTAAAAGTAACATGGTTCTATACCCGCCCCTGGAGACCTCCTGGGTCTGCCCGGACCCTTTATGGCACGGTGTGCAGGTGGGTGCATCACTTTGGCGTGACGTGTCTTCATAGACTAGAGCGCGAGCTTGTGTGAGTAGTCTGGAGGAGGAGGCAGTAGAGGAGGGAACAGCAGCAGGAGAAACACTTCCTCAGCCGGCTCTTCTTCACTTCTCTCCCGCTGTCCGCCCACAGCCCCTCGCGCCATGGCGCCCAGCCGGAACACCCAGAGCAGCTCCTCCGCCGTGAAGAGCGAGCCCGCCGCGGGAGCCGCACCGCCGGGGCTCTACGGTGAGTACTTACCGGAGCACAGCAACAAAGGAAGTTAGGACAGTTATTTTACGGCAGTGTTGTGACTATAGGTTTATCATCACAAAGAAGAAATATAATTAGGAGTTTAATTAAGCAAATTGTGAACATGTTAAGTGATACACACAGCTGAACAGTTTTATTGGATTTTATTATTATTATTATTATTATTATTATTATTATTATTATAGGAACAGGCACTTACATAACGTTATGCACTAAGAACGTGAATATCTATAGATGATATATGTTTAATTCTGGACTCTGTGTGTGGACTATATTCAACCTGGCAGTGGCGGTTCTAGACCAATTTGACTGGGGGGGCCACTGGGGGTCCAGTTATTTTCTGAGGGGGGCACAATAAATGCAGGACGAAAAAGAGAACTAGACAGTATGAACTAATTGCGCATAAGAAAACAATGCAATACAGTTATTGGTATTTGTTTCAGTACACTTATTTATTTCAGATATATCTTATAGTTATTACTGTTAGCTTCAGCTTAAGTTATAGTACACTTTTTGCACTAACACCATATCATATTTATATAAAAATAAAGGCAATTAACAGTTACATCTCTACTTTACATCTACAATTACACGGATACAATAGTTTAAATCACCTTCAATTACCGTGGTAGTCTCTCGAAACGTAGGTTTCAATCAGTCTTACTTGGATGCAACAGCCTCTGATGATCCGAGATGAAAAGTGTTTGTTTTTCGCGCGCTTCAGTGCACCGCTCTAATGGGTCCGACTAGAATGACGAATAACGTTAGTTCCGTCTATTCCGTCATTCAATAAATCGTGTAATAAATCATACATTTTTCATTTTTTTCACTTTTCATTTTTAGAGGGGCCACAGGGGGGTCAGAGGTCAGTGTTAGGGGGGCTATTTAACGTTATTTAAAAGATAATTATATTCCTATTTGATCATGTCCCCTTTATTGTATTACGAGCGTCCATTCCCATTGGATAACGGAGGATTTTAAACCCGGAAGTAAGTATTCTCCTTACTGTCGATTGATTTTACAGTGATATCTGCACTACTCATCAACTCAAACACACCAGATTATCCTTGTTGATTACACAACATTGATTGGTGCAGAAACAGGCTGTGTCTGTTGTGCACCCTCAGCACAGAGAAAATGGTCTTTATTCCATGTACTTCCTGGTTCTCAGGAAGACAGGGGAATTCAGATCTATTCTAGATCTCAGCAGCCCGAATCGCTACATTGCCTGCAGAAAATTCTACATGTTAACTATAAAACAGTTAATGGGGCTTGTGCAAACCGGGCGATTGGTTCACCACCATCGACCTGAAAGACGCATACTTTCATGTGTAAATTGCTCCGGAGCACAGAAAGTGTCTGCGTTTTGCCTTCATGGGGATAGCCTACGAGTACAACAGAGTACCGTTCGGCTACTCCCTATCCCCACGCACGTTCAGTAAATGTGTGGCCACTGCGCTTCAACCGCTGCGCGCCCACGGCATGAGAGTTTTATTTTACTAGACGACCTCATAGTCATGGCCGGGTCCAGGGAACAGGCAATGCTTTGCGCAGCACAATTGATCACACACCTAACCAAATTAGGCTTTGCGATCAATTGAAAAAAGAGCACCCCCAT